CACACGACATCTCCACGGCTTGGAAACCCCTCCAGGGGTGGGGACTCCACCACTGCCCTGGGCAGCCTGGCACAGCCCTGGGCAACCCTCAAGGGGAAGAAATTGTTCCAAATACTCTTGCACAATGCTCACCAGGAGGAAAGCAGCAGCTGCCTGGTTTTAACACTGTCAAACCCCGATTTATCCTGCCTGTGCCCGTGGGTTGCCACCAGCCTGCCCATGCTGCATCACTCTGCATGAATTCCTGGTTCTTGGAGGAAACTCGCTGCTCCTCCTGCAGCTCCCTCTGAAGCTCATGCCCAGGGGAGCAGGCAGGCAGCAGCAGCCAGGACCTGAGGACCTGTGAGGGCTGACAGGTGCCTAACGTAGCTCTGCTGGGCAGCATCCATGTTTCTGCCTTTCCTTTCAGTCCTCTGCTGGGTGAAAAGTTACAAGTCTGAAACCTTCCATGGAAGAGGAATCCCAAGGTATGTTTTCGTCATCAATATAAGCCGTGGGGCAGGAAAGTGTGTGCATGAGCTGCTCCTGGAAACCTGCGGCTGGGGCAGGAACTGGGGAGCTGAGAGTTGAAGGCAGAGGAGCCCACAGAGCTCTGCACACCCCCTGCCAGCTCCCTGCCGTGGTGCTCTCCTCCTAGGTCTGGGATGAGTTGGAATTGCTGCAGCTCTAATGATTTATGTCACCAACTTTGAACTCCCTGCTGTGCCCCAGCACCTCTGAAATCCCAGGTGCTGCCTCTGAAATCTTAGTGAAGGATTGCTCATGTGGAAACTTCCACCATTAAAGGTCACATGGAAAGTGCTTTATAATAGTTATGCAAATCGTGTTTCGACCACGAGATACCCATCTGGGAAGAGGTGAACTGTCAAGAATTGGTTGAGTAACCAAGAGATGGCACCAGGAAATACCTGAAAGTGTTTCAATATCTTCTTGCAATCAGGAAGTCAGGCAGGTGGGTTCCTGGGGAGGTGGGGACAGGACCTGTCCCTGTCCCTATTCCCACCGTAGCCGTCGTGGCTCCTGGGTCAGCAGGGCTCCCTGCTTGTCATGGTGCCATGTTCTCAGCTTTGGGTTCTTTCTGATTTGAAGCCTAGCCAGGAGTTTGCCCCCCTTGAGCCCCGGTGCAGGATTTGTGTTGGCTGTGCCGAGTGGGGTGTGAGACTCTTGCCACCAGCCCATGCCAGGCACCCAGCCTCTCTCCATCACCCCTGCCAGGCACCCAGCCTCTCTCCATCACCCCTGCCAGGCACCCAGCCTCCCTCCAG